TCCCCCTGCTGACCCCCCCCCCCCCGCATCCCCTGGGCCCATGTGGTGGGGCACGGAGTCGGGGTAAGGAAGGTCGGGGAGGAGGGTGCAGGTCGGCCGTGCACCTTGCCCAAGGACAGCCGATAAACATCAAACGGCTGCTCCGCGTAATCTCGCGTGTTTGTAACAAACGGAGAGCTGAAGGCAACCGCCATCGCCACCCATCATGCAGGGGGCCGCTCTCACGACGTCTCAACGTCTAAACAAACGCCACCATGTTATCTTTGTGTTGAGTCGTTTCCCTTATTCGCCCCTCCCCCTCCCGAATGTGAATCGTCTCACCCATTTTAAACAGAACCCCGGCAGCACGATGCCCTCCCCACGCTTCTTGACACCTGCTTCTGATCGAGTTTTCTTCGATTCCCTTCAAAGCCCGAAATTAATCGGCGTCGTTAATTCGAATAAAAGTCTGGAAAATCGATCGGACGACTGAACGTGTTCAGGTACTGTAGAGTACTTACAAAAAAGAAAACCACGTTCAGCATCTGCGAGCAAGACGGAGACGGGCACACTTCATATTCTGCACTGGATGTGTTCGGGTCTCATGATGCTTCACGTGACGGAGTCCATCCGATCGCAGCTACAATTCGGCGAACGACGCTCGCATTCAGGCATCACTGGCCACTAATTGGTGACCGTTGCCGGGTCGCGAACTCGGGCGGCCGGGTTCATAGGGCAAGGTCCAAAGTTGGACGCCCCTGTGTTGTCTGGTAAGTGATGAAGTGAACACGTGAGTCGGGTGGTTAATTCGACCGCGTGAGCCACCGGACGGGACTGCCCTCCAAAAACAAAACATGCAAATAACCCAGAATGCTCGAGGGTGCTTAGGGACAGCTTCGCAATACATGGAAACATTCCGCCCAGACTGTCTGAGACGCAGAGGCATTCTGCTGCTAGCCGTGCCGTGTCTCTCGAAAGGCCCCGGATCGTTTGCTATCAGTGTCGTGAAAGAAACGTCGCCTATTTTATGTGTTCTCTTAAGTCCATAGCGTTTTTGAGAAATATGTAATGCGACAGCGCTCACGAAGGACATTGGCAGCAAATGCAGAGGTTTTTTTCTTCAAACGGGATCGGAGGAATATAGTCAGGAACGATGGTGGAGAAAGGAGTACAGCAATCGTCCAAGACTTGATGGAAACGGTCACCATGACAACCGATAACAAACAACTTCAGAAGATGATTGATGAAATTAACAAAGAGGACTCCAAAGTTGGGCTCAAGATAAACAGGAGCAAAACATATGACCCGTGCACTACAAGTTTCCTAAACAAAATTCAATCATCTTTCGAGGGAGACGACTGGAAAACAGAGCCGAATATGTGCAGCTATCGGGCAATCATCGAAGGCAGATTAGAATCCAATTATGAAATAAAGATGTAAACAAAAAGAAGTGAGTTAGTTAAAAAAACTAAACTTCCTTTGATAACGCAAAGCAACACACCAATATGCTTGAAAAATAAAGGTTTCAATCAGTGAATATTGCCCGCTATAATATCGCACCTGGGATTAGCACAGTTGGCTACGTGCGGTGGATAACGAAATTCAACATACAGTACATCCGTATCATACACATGGACACTAACGCAGGCAATAGAACAACAGTTGGAATGCCCACGTGGGGAGATTCATGCTTGGAATTACACCAAGAACACGTGGCTCAGAGAACAAACGCAAACCAGAGGCATCGTCATATTGGCGCCACGTGAATAGGAGTGGGCTTGAGCAGGACACGCCACGAGAAGGAATGATGACCCGATGGACAAGACTGGTGGAAGAATGGCAGGGCAACACCGAACCACCGTGGATATGGAACAAATGAGATCGTCTCCCGTGCAGGTGTGAGACGGATCGTGGCATCGCAGTACCGCGTGGGATGGCGACTGCGTGAGGAGGCATTCATCCAGCAGTGGATAAAAACCATGGCTGACGGTGCCGATGTCGACTCCACTGCCCCCCCCCCCCCCCGCGTGCCCACTCGTGGAGTTGGCCAACATTTCCGAAAACGGGTCCTGAGGCTCAGTTGGGACTCTGCCGGGACAAATGGCATTATTGGTATTATGTTTGCGATGGCAGCGACCCGCGACCCTCCTGTCACGTCTATCCGTCACTCGGCAGCTCGGCGCGGAGTTTATGAATGTGCAATCTCCGTCGTGAGTGATGGTTCCTGAATTCATCCGCTGATTTATAGTTCCTTTGCATCGGTGCTGCTGTGCACCTGTGTCCGACCGCTGTACTTCATCTTTAAACCATACAGAATCTGTAGCTTACCTCCGGTGCCTTGTCAACACATAGAGTTCCCACATCACCCGATATAGTCTTCGAAGTATGCGTACAGACCTATATATGTATACATACATATACTTTGTCAATCTACGACTGGATGAAGGCCTCCCCCACGACGTTGTCGGTCGTTTGACCATACTTCACCACGCTGGTCAGTGCGGGTTGGTGAAGGGGTTCAGAGTGCAGTGCGCTAACTACCACGCAACCGCCCCACCCACAAACCTATACATTCACTCTGAGTGAGAGACAGTACATGTACGGTTTTTGAAAAACACAATAAACGTATGTTATGACGTGCAGCCCTTTGTCAATCTACTGCTGGATGAAGGGCTCCCCACAGCATATCGGTGGTGGAGGTTGTTTTCACCATACTGGTCAGTGCGGATGTTAACCGCTGCTGGTAATGGAATTCACGTCGCCGAGTTCACAGGGCAGTGCGCTAACCACTGCGCCACCGCTCTAAGGCCCTCTCGGGAGAGGCACGCGCTCCGTGGACGAATGCAAACTACACAATCGTACGAATGTCCACTGCTGCCGGAAGCTACTGCCACATGCACGCATCACGCTTGCGGTCACTTCGCTATCGAACGGCCATCAGTTCGTTTAAACGAGTTCATTCCTTTATCGCGGCGCTTGATGAGCCGCACGCCCAATTTTAACAATTAATTTTATTGATCTGTAAAGAAGGGCGAGGGTTTCCTCTGGCGAGGGAGGTATGGGAGGTTTTATGTACGCGGGAGACATTTACCATTGTTTTATTTTAATTGTGTATAATTTAAAGATTTGGATTTTTTTTTCCAGTGATTTTTCCTATGACACCCACCCACCATAACTTGCTCTCGTAAATCACGCCACGGGGTGTTTAACGTCTGTTTTACAGTTTACGGTCAATCAGCTGTACGGGATGATCATGTAATTTATGTATTTTTTCCAGGCAAGCCTCAAGGCTGCTTCCCCTCTCACGCGTAAGGAGCGCTTGCTTCGTGTGGGACGGAAGCCGAATATCCAGGGAACACACCACCACCACCACCACGCTCAACAAGGAGATAGCGCCCACGTTTCCGCACAGACGAGGTTCACGCAACCCAGCAAGCTGGCTTTTCCCTGCCACTTCCTGGCCACTTCGCAGCCTCGGCGTGTTTGGGAGTTTCACTCTCGATCTTTGCGTGATCTTTGCCCGCACAGAGCGCCGAACTGGGAGTTGTGCGAGTCGCCACGCCGGACTTGCGCAATCGGTCACAGCGCCGCGCCGGCCTCGCACAAAAGGCGTTCTCGTCGCTCGCTGCCGTTAATCGCAGCCTTTATCTCGTCGCCCCCCTACCTCCAGCCACACCCCCCCCCCTTTCTTCTCCCCCACCCCCCCGTGTGCAGGAAGCCGCCGAGCGTCTGGAAGCTCAAGATGCCACGGGGGTGGCCTCCTCAGCGAGCCGCACATTTGGTGAAGGCTCTTATTACCTCGCGCAATCTGCCCGTGACACAGACGCCCCCCCCCCCGACCTCGTCCGATACAATCGCGCGAGTCGCATCCCTGCACCGCCACTTCCCCTTGCGTTGCAATCGATGGACGCGTGCGCGCCGCAGGAATTAGTGGCAAGCTGGACGACACTTACGGATTTTGGGTCACGTCTTAGCGTGGCCTGTGCGAGCAACAACACGGCCAGTGGCTTTATTGGACGAGATGAGGCCGGGAGTTCGATCCCGACCCTGACGATGCCTGCTGTATATTTGAAGTTCGCGAGTTCTCTCTCCCAGTGGTGGTCACGTGAATGTTTATCCAGGTTCTTCCGGCTTTGTCGTCCACATTTAGAAACAACATGGGTTTAGATAATGTGGCCGCTACTATAAATCCCCACATATGTTGTTCATAGAGCCACTTCGATGAGCTATCACGTGTGGCCAGATCGCCTATGAAAAAGAGATAATAGGTCAGTGGGCTTTATCTGGTAAAATAAAAACGAATAGAGGGGGTGTCTGTGGGGGAACTGCAAGGCTGTGTTTCTTGACGCCGAACCCAAGTGCCTTTGCGGCCACGTGGCTGTAATTGTCATACATCGCTGCTTCAATAAATGAATTAAAACGCCACACGTGCCCTCTACTGCCCACAACGCCTACGATACACAAGTATTTTGCGCACGATAGCCGCCCAACCAAGCACTATCCAGGCTCCTAAAAAAATCCCGCTTAGCTTCCAATGTCTAACGGGATGGGGCGCATTCCGGGATTCTATTATAGGGCAGTGTTCTCGCGGTAAAACAATGGTACCTTCTTTTTTTTAATGAGCGCCAGTCGGGTTTAGTTGCACGTCGACACCAATCACTACTGCCATTATTACGATTGCCACGATAGGTTTCTCCTACATCACGGTTCATTAGGTATCATAGCCCGGTGGAAATTACGCATTGCAAAGGAGGCAGGGTGCAGACAGCAGGCGGGACGGGTGGAGCAGAGGTCCCGCCAGATGCTTTTCAGCCTCGACGCGGGTCTGGAGAAAGGTTTGATTTCGGGGGATGGGAGGAGGGGAGGGAGGGCGGGCGAGGAGAGTCGTGTCCCTGGCAGGGGAGGTGGGAGGAGGAGTGATGGAGGGAGGAGAGAGGCAGGGAGACAGAGAGCGGCTGGAGATTTTGGAGGAGAGAGTGGGGGCGGAGGGGAGAGAGATTGGGGGGAGGAGTGAGCCGCCATCGGGTAACTACTAAGACTCGAGAGGGTGGTGGTGGAGGAGTTTGGGGCTCCATCTGGTGGTGACGTAACCGCTCCCAATAGGCAGCGCGGACCAATGGGATCGCGGCCTGGAGTGAGATATTCGCGGCGCCGGCTGAGAGTGGGGGCTCAGAGCGCGCGCGCAGGTACACGGAGCAACATCCACGGGGTGCAGATGATCGCGCTGTGACACCCGCGCCAGTGAGTCAGTGGCCACGGGAACAGGAGAGACGCGGTGTTGGCAGCAGCAGCATGCAAGACGCCAGCAGCAGCGTGGCCACTGCGCCCTGCGCTCAGGGACCCAGTTGCTCTTACCCGGCCACGCTCGTGGCGCAAACCGGAGCGCCGCGCGGTCCCGGAGCGGGAACTCCCGAGCGCAGCCGAGCGAGCGAGCGTCTGGAGGCGAGTATGGCCGGCTTGGCCGAGCTCGAGCTGCTGCGGAGGAGGCACGAGGCGCTGGTGCGGGGCGTCCTGGAAGCCCCCGCGAGTGCCGACCAGGATCAGCATCACCGCCATCAACATCCTCATCAGCATCATTCGGGGAGCGTGAGCGCGCGCCAGCAACCGCTGGAGCGCGACTTCGTGGAGTCGCTCAGAGCGATGAAAGAGCAGCTGGTGAGAACAACTCGTGTGTGTGTGTGCGTGAGAACAACTGTGTGTGTGTGCGTGAGAACAACTCGTGTGTGTGTGTGTGAGAACAACTGTGTGTGTGTGTGAGAACAACTGTGTGTGTGTGTGTGTGCGTGAGAACAACTGTGTGTGTGTGCGTGAGAACAACTGTGTGTGTGCGTGAGAACAACTGTGTGTGTGTGCGTGAGAACAACTGTGTGTGTGTGTGTGCGTGAGAACAACTCGTGTGTGTGTGTGTGCGTGATAACAATTCGTGGCTGTGCGTGAGACAGAGATGGGTGCTCGCAAAACAGCACATAGCCCACTCCGTCTGTCTGTCAGGCTAGACCGCTGGAGGAATCGTTATCTGGTGCGCGGCGGTGTAGTGGTCAGCGCATCGCGCTTTACAAATTCGACCACCCGGGTTCGATTCCCGGCACCGGTAGACGTCAGTGGCGAGCGATCTTCGCAGGCCCTGGGGCCGCCACCCATCGCCAACCCCGCACTGACGGGCGTGGTGAAGTATCGTCAAACAGTTACCACAACCGACGCGGTGCGGGGAAGTCTTCATCCAGCAGCGGCTTGGCAAGCCGTGAACGACTACGACGACTACTTATTATTATTTGAGGTGCCCCTCTCGATGGTATTTTGGGCTACTCCACGCCGGTCAAATTCGTGGTCGAGGTTCGAGTACCCACACTGCCCCACGACCACGCTGTGCGACCTGGAGATCGCGTGCTATGGTGTACCCATCGTGTACCCATCGTGTACCCGTTCGTGTACCCGTTCGTGTACCCGTTCGTGTACCCACTCGTGTACCCATTCGTGTACCCACTCGTGTACCCATTCGAGTACCCACTCGTGTACCCATTCGTGTACCCATTCGGGCTGCTGGGTTACAGTCAAAGGCTGGCGGGCGGAGGGGTAGCAGGGAGATTTAACAATGTTTCACACTGCCGTGCCACGGGAAATCGAAGCGGCGACCTCTCCCTCTTTCAAGTCGCAGTCTGCTGACCGCTGCATACAGGGACAGAGGCACCGCAGACGCCGCCAATCCACAAATGCCCGCTCCGGCTAAAGTTAGCGCGGCGCTGCTGCGGGCCCCGGGGTTGGAGGGCGCTGCGGGGCAAGGGGCGTGGGTGGGGGGCAAACCTCGCAGCGCCTCTCGCCCTCGGCTATCGGATGCCATTCCTTATTTTGCACCTTAACGGCCACGGTGTGCGTGCGGGGGTCACTGTGTGTGTGTTCGTTGGGTCGGTGTGTGTGCGCGCGTCACTATGTGTGTGTGTTTGTGTGTGGGTCAGTGTGTGTCTTTGTTGGGTCGGTGTGTGTGTGTGTCACTGTGTGTGTCTGTCACTGTGTGTGTCTGTCACTGTGTGTGTGTGTGTCACTGTGTGTGTGTGTGTGTCACTGTGTGTGTGTGTGTCACTGTGTGTGTCACTGTGTCACTATGTGTGTGTCACTGTGTGTGTGTGTCACTGTGTGTGTCACTGTGTGTGTCACTGTGTGTGTCACTGTGTGTGTGTGTCACTGTGTGTGTGTGTCACTGTGTGTGTGTGTCACTGTGTGTGTGTCACTGTGTGTGTGTCACTGTGTGTGTGCCACTGTGTGTGTGGGGAGCGATAGTGTAGCGGTAAGCGCGCTGCGCTATGAACCTGGCCACCCGGGTTCGATTCCTGCTCACGGCCAACACCAGTGACGATTATCTGAACCGGTCCCGGGCCTCCCCTAGGTCGACTCATCCTCAAATGAGTACCTGGTGCGGTGTGTAAACATTGCCACTGGGGAGACAAAGGCGGCCGGGCGTGGTGTTGGCCACCCGTAGGTGCTCGCTAACGGCACTTGCCCCAACAGTCTCTGTATGTGGAATAGTTGTGGGGGGGAGGGTATTCACTGCCCCCCGCGCTCCCGCGTTGACTCCTAGGGCTGCCTCCCCCAGCGCGACCTCGGGCTCCTGTCGCGGCTTCGCCACCTGAACGAGCAGTTCAGCGAGCTCAAGATGGACATGGACAGAGCGGCCGTGAAGCAGTCAGAGACGGACAGCCGGCCCAGCTCCGGTGCGTGACGCACGCGCACACACGCTGAGACACACGGACGGGGACACACTGAGACACGTGGACAAACGGATAAAGACAAAGATCCCCCGTGTAGCTGTTGAGCCAAGTGCCGACACAGGCTGAGTCGACCTACCCATAAATAACGGACACGTGGACAGGGGAGAGATTTGCATCGGCGGTTCAATAGCGCAACCGCCTCTCCATATAACACGAAATAAGAATGAGATGCATTTTACATGATGTGCGTACATTTCCACCGCAGTGTATTGCGGTGGCAGTACCGATTGCGAAGTTAACACCAGCGCGTGTAGAATGCTGCAAGTGCAATGCGCAGAGTGATGTTCACATTTTTATTGTGATGGGTGCACGGTGTTTTATTACGTGTTCTATTACGTGAAGGGGAAGCTGCATATTCCTTAGACGAGTATTTATGATTCATAACCACAGCAACTTACGACTACTACTAACTACTCAATACTTAATAGGAATAGCAATGCGCATCCCTTTGTAAATTCACTGCTGTATTCTGACGTGCCCGCGCAGTGTCGCCCACGGGAATTGTTTGGCCATACTTCACCACGCCGATAGGCAGCGGAGGGGGGTTGGGTGGGGCTGGTAGGACCGGTTTAGATAACAATCGCCACTCACGTTAGCCGTGGCCGGGAATTGAACCCATAAAGAGTGCGCCCAGCCACTGTGACGCCGCTTGCACGCTTGATTGTATACTGTAATACACACGGGAGCTTTTACGTTGAACATCATAAGAGCTCTTTGGGACCCGAACGTCGCAACAACAAAAACAACCTCTTGACCGTAGTTTATTAAATAGGGTATACACTATTAATATTATAGAGTAACAGTAAATGCAGTTAGTCGTACAGATAGTCGCATAGTGCATCGTTGTGCGAGATGTTAATTCGGTTCAAATGGCACAGAGGAGAAGTCTGCCTCCGATACACTCCGTAGTCGCTATCGTCTGAGTTGTATTCATTGCGCATCGCAAGCACAAAGGTTGTTGTAGCCTCCCGCGGCCGAGGAGGGGATAATGGGGCACCAGGAGACCTAAAGATTGTAGCGCGGGAGTTCCCGCATTCATGACCCGTGATCAACGGGGGGGAGCCAATTTGAAAATTCAACGCCCCCCCCCGCCGCTGTAGCGCGCGTGTAGGGTGGGTCACCTGCGGGCATCGGCTGCTTTGAAAGGACGGGGCTGGCTCGCATAAAAGGTGCCGACGCGGGACCCCGCCGTAATACACAAGGCAGTCTGGTGGGAGCGCGAGCAAGGCGGGCAGCCGTGGCCAGCGCTCTGCCGAGGAACTGTGATAAAACAAAACAAAAAATACAAATACCCCACTCGTTTAAAAAAAAAATCTCAGCCTATCGTGAAACCAATCTGCTAATTGGCGTAGATGCGCGCACATCAATGAAAGCTGTACAATGAGATAAACTTTCATCCCGACAGATTAAATTTGTGCGGGCGAGAAAACCCCATGGTTTCAAGTGGGACGGCAAACACGTGTGAACAAACAAGGCACGCAGACGATTCATTATACAAAGTAGGCGTGCATTCATAGAGTGGCATTACATCTCAATGGCCGGTGACGCTGACGTCGGCCTTATTTATATTTGCTTGTCTTGATAGTTGTTCAAGGAACTTATTCGACCACCCATTCGCCCGAACCATAGAAATGTGGAATTTCCCCTTCTGCGACCGAATGGATTAACTGTGTGAATGCGCATTTGTTCTACAGTATCTATATTTGTGTACCAATGTATGCCTTGAACCCAGTGATCTGAGTTTGATCATTACCAACCACGACTAGTGAATGATACCTGTGACCTTGTCCCGGGCCTCCCCAGGCACGACTCAGCTTTAAATATGTATCTGCAGTGATGTGTAAACATTAGCACTGGGGAGACAAAGGCGGCCGGGCGTGGTGCTGGCCACCTCCCCCCCCCCCCTCCGGTGTGCCGTTCCTGCCTTCGTAGACCCTCGCTAACAACACTTGCTCCAAGTATGTTAAAGGCTATATAGGGGGCATCTTTCTCTTTGTGTGCATGTCTGTATACTGTACTGTATATGTGTGCATATATCAGTCATCTCAATCGGTTAATCCATAACACCTGGGTCTGTCCCGTGACCTCTTGCCAAGCAGCGAGCCTTTGGATTCACCTCGCCTGGCACGCATGCTGCGGAAACACCACCACCACTTGGTGCCTTAGCTGCTGCTGCTGTTGTTGCCGGTGTTGTTGCCAGTGTTGTTGTTGGTGTTGTGCGTCATCGCCGGCTGACCCTTGATCTAAATCGCCTGTGGCGTTGCTGGTGACGGACGCAGGCTACTACGACCTGAGCGACGGCTCGCTCTCCAACTCGTGCAACTCGATCTTCAGCGACTGCCTCTCGGGCTCGCGTTCCAGCCTCGGCTCGTGCTCCCCACCGGGTCGCGCCGCCCCGAGCCCGGCCAGCCCCGCCGCTGCCCCCGCCGCCGCCGAAACGCACCCCGGCTTCACCTCCGAGCTGCCGCTCTTCAGGGGGCCCGGAGAGCACCCCCGGGAGATGTGCGGGCCCCTCCCGGCGGCCGGGGCCACCGCGGCGGCGAAGGTGGCCCTTCAGTGCCCCCAGCAGCAGGGCCGGGCCCGTGAGAGGCCTCTATCCTCCGGTAAATGCCTCTCAAAGTTTACGTTTTGAAATGTGTAGAATTTCCTTATTCCTATGCTACTTTGATCCTGTACGCTATTATATTTTGACGCCGTATTTGTGTGTGCTATAATAGACTGAATAGTAACTGTGATTGGGATGCTGCTCTGGTGTGATGGTTCGGCAACCAGTTCCATTTGCGGCAGTAGAACAAAGGGCCTCCGCCTCTGTACACCCAGCATTATACAGTAAAATGCGTACACCAGTCGTGATCAGTGGCTCGTGTGCGGTGGGGTAACGTGTGGGTACACCCATCACCTTCCAAGATGTCTGGCAAGCACGGAAGAGTAGGCCAAGTGCCCTCCAGACAGGCGATTCCCTCTAGTGGGGGGCCTTCCCTTGGGCAATCGGTGGCGCGAATCGGACAGAGCAGGGCTCCACCTTTACCTTTGTAGGTTATTGTCACTAAATGTGTTGATGGACTTGCATACGCAGCACAGTGGATACAGAACAGGAAGAAAAACTCTTAAAATTTAACCAGTCACAATTATATTCGATTGGTGAAGTATTATTTGTGTCGAAAATAGAAACATGTTTAAATAACAGCCAGCGTATATGTCTTCCTGTTTAACAATTATGTAGCAATGTTTTTTGGTAAAAAAAATAGCACTCATTGGTATTGTTTGTGTTTAGCTATAATCAATCACAGCCGTGGCACGCCCGATTCCCTGCCATGGATGCAAACGCGTTTTGTTGTAAGGTCACACGGTAAACGTTCGACTATTCATCATGAGCTCATCTTCCTCCTGTGTACAGAGGGCCCACTGGCACACAGCAGTCGAGCAAATAGACAAAGCTTTCCTGCAAATTGAAATCCCGAGCAGACTGGGTGGTGCTGTGAATTGAGCACACAGCTGTCGATCAGAAGGTTCAGGGTTCAAATCCCGTTGGGGGACAGCGCAAACCTTCACTTCTCTGGGCTATGTAGAATGAGTACGGTCATGTGGGAAGTCGATCGCATCAGTTAAATAATAATTAATAAATAAACTACGGACAATTGTCAATCCACTGCTGGATGAAGGCCTTCCCACACACTGCGTTGTCATTATTTGACCATACTTCATCACGCTGTGGAGTGTTGATTGGGCAAGGATGGGGGCCCAGGACAGGTTCAGAGATCACTCGCACACTGGTGTTAGCCATGGCCAGAAATCAAACTTGCGGAGTCTGCTTACGACAGCACCACTGCTGCACCTCCACCCCTCAGATAAATGGTTAATATTCTACAAATATGTTTCTGTATTCTATACAAGAGTTATATTTATTGCCATTCATCCTGATTATTTACGGCAGCTTGCTCACGTACCATAAAATTCCATGAGGCAGGGAGTGTTAACACAAACTCTACGGGGGTTCATATTCTTAGCTCTTTCGGTAAAGTCACGTTGAAGGGAAACAATAAAATAATAAAATATATATAAAACAATAAAAATTCTCACGACGTTTCGACCATAACACAAACGGTCATCATCAGGTGCTTCACACAGTCACGAAAGCTTGAAATCAAAATTCTACGGGGGTTGTCGTTGCCGAGCAGGCCTATGTTTATTTCACGCCTTGCCGATGTGCTCGTTACGACTCTAACGCGTGCCTTGGGCCTCGTGCCCCCCTCGTCGTCCACAGGGGACCTGCTGCGGCTCCGGAGCGAGACCTCGGGGGCTGGCACGGCGACCCGCCGCTCCCTGCCCGACGACCCCACGCCGGGCCCCCCGCCCCCCGCGGGCTGTCCCTCCGCCCGCGGCACCGAGGCGAGCGGCCGTTACGTCTCCGACCTGACGTCGCGAGACGGCAGCGACGTGTACCGCTACCCGAGCCCGCTGCACGCCGTGGCGATCCAGAGCCCGCTCTTCCTGCACTGCCCCGGCGCCGCGTCGGGTCCTCACGACGCCATGACGTCTCGACGTCCCGGCGGAAGCGAGCGGAGGCCGTGCTCCGGGTTCGTTCCGTCGCCGGGGCCCGTGCCCCTCTCGCGGGACGGTGTAGCGAACGAGAGGGTGAGCGGGTACATTTGCAGCTTGCTTGACCGCAAACGCGCGCCAGGTGCGAGCGGAGGCAACGGAGCGAAACTGAGCAGGATGGAGAGTTTTAATGCCGGTCCCAACATGCCCATCACGAACGGGCGGCTCAAGCCCAAGCATGAGGAAAAGCCAGTGACTCCGGAAAACATCAATCTGGGAGCAGATCTTAAACCGGACACTTTACAATGCGTGGACAGTTGCAAAGAGGTAATTCCAGAGAAAAACGTGCAAACGATCAATGAGAGTGAAACTCCGAGGTGCCATCAGCAGAGGTCCGAATCCTCGCCAAGCCCAAAGTCCAAAGAGCAGCCGAAGCTCATTGCCAATGTGCTGCCTCTGAGATGTAACGATTCTCCAAAAAGAACCGGAGCCCTCCCCTCACATTTGAGCCGTGTCAAAGGCTCATCGCGCGTGGAGAGGTATGAAGAAGACTCCAAGCCGTCGTCATCAAGAGTGTCCCATCAGGTACCCAGAGGCACGCACGCCACACCAGGAAAAGGAGTCGAACTGAGGTACAGGGATGCCACAAGCAAGCAGCAGATCGTCGAGGAGCGCTTCGCTCTGTCAAAGGACAGGTCCAGAGCACTGAATGTGTCGAACCACGGAGCGGTCATCAAAGCGACTCACGGAAAATTGGACAAAAGGACGGGTGGACGCAACGTGGTGCCACGGGCCCAACCGAGAGCCGACGCGGGTAACTGCAGGACCAGCAATGGGCACGTGCTTCTCAAGGGAAACAGGTCTGCGCAACCACATCACCGCAGCATGGAGAGCGTGGAGAGCAGACGCAAAGGGAGCGGCCGTAAAACTGCCATTAAGAGCAGCAAGAAGTACGGGACGCACGCGGACTGGAACGGCGACAAGAGGCTCGGCCCAACAAAAGCGAGGCCCCCGAAGGTCGAGGAGCAGCGTGCGCGCAGGAGGGACGAGGACAGGATGCAGAACCCGGCCGCTTGCGCCGAGCGGTGCTGCCGAGACGCCGTGTCGAGGGTCGATGGACGCGACTGCCGCAAGAGCGCCGCCGCCGCTGCCGGTGGCAGTGGCCGAGGCGTCAAACGCTTGGCGCAGCAACCAAAGGGTCGCTCCCGGGAGCCCGTTCAGCCGCACGGAGCCGCGCACGGCAGAGTGCCGGCGCCGCCGCTGCCCCAGCAGCAGCCGCGTCACCGCAGGCGGCCGGCCCCGGCACGCGTCCGCGTGCACCCGCCGGCGCTGGCCCCGGCGCTGGCGCACGTGCGCATGGCGCGCGCGTACGCGACGGCCGTCGCGCGGGCGGACAGTGACTCTGAGCGCTCGGAGTACTCCGCCGAGTGCGAGTCGCTCTTCCACGGCACGGTGATGGACACGAGCGAGGATGAGATGAGCGACCACACGACCAACCGCTTTGGAGATGGGGAGACGAGCGCCAGCGAGGGCGTCCCGTGCTCCGAAGTCGACGACGACGATCGCGACGACGACGACGAGGAGGAGGAGGAGGTCGCCACGGACAGCGACGGCGACGCCGGCGGCTTCAGCGTGAGCACGGGTTCCTCCGCCTCGGACGAGGAGGACGACGTTGACACCGGAGGGCGGCAGCAGAGCAAGGGATTGCCCCTCGCGGGGAGACGCGGCGGTCAAAAGGCTCCGGTGGTGGCGGCTCCGGTGGCGGCGAGGGGGCCGGAGGCGCGGGGAGGCGGCGGCGGCGGCGGCGTGCGGGGCCAGCAGCACGCCGCGTGCCGCATCAAGGCGTCGCGGTCCCTCAAGAAGAAGATGATGCATTTCCGATCGGGCTCCCTGAAGGTCATCACGACCGTGTGACTCGTCAGCTCTCGTGGACGAGGAGCCGAATGAAGGACTGCTGCGAGCCCCTTCTGAGATGGAAGCCGTTGCTTTATTTACCTTGGCACACATTGTTCCTCGATTGCATTTTGCACACAGCGCAAACAGTAGTAATAATGAATAACAAACCTTTAATATTATATTACAGTCTGCAGTACTTAGGAACATCGTAGGGTATACAGTGCGTATTCATATTCGTCCGTTGAGTTTTTTGGTAACCCATACGGGCTCTCGGTGCTTTGTCTCTCACAGCCTTCCGTATATATATACATAGTTAGCAATATGACAATCTTATTTAAGATAATATCCCCCTTGTATAACTGCACATTTACAAATGCTTATGTTTGCATGGTCATGGAATGGAGTTTTTTTTATTGTGTACAAATGTACATTCGTATACGTTTCGCTCGTGCTGTTGTCATGTCGTATTGTAAATCTGTAATCGTGCGTTCTTACGATGTCAAAAAGCCAAGAGGTTAATAAATTCCTACAAACCCCTCCCCCTCACTGCATCCGCCCGACATTGGTTGCCTGACGCGATTCCTTGCGGACATTCTGGCACGCTCGTGAAACAAAAAAACCCCGTACCGGTGAATTCCGTACATGGCGAAGGCGCCCAGGCCCCGTGTGTGGTTTTGAAGACATTTCAATTATGCACACTCGGGCTGACGCGTCTATTTTCGGCGGGCGCCACAAACGGGGGGTGGGCCCTCGTTAGGGAGTTTGCCACGTGTCCCCGCCCGTCGACTCTCTCTCTCGTGGCCTTCACTCATTTCCATGTCTCTTCCGACTCCCTCAATCAGTTTGACTCTTGGCACGAGCAGACCATTCCCCCGCCCCGCGTGCGATGGCCGAGGCAATCTTGGTGGGCTGGCAGTGGTTAATTAAAGTTGCAAAGAAATCGTAAGCATCCCATCTTATTGGCTGTGCTTTATGAATGTACACGGTGGTTAGCGCACCGCATTAAAAAAACCACGCGAACCCGGTTCGATTCCTGGCCACGGCTAACATTATTAGCACCTGACCTTCATCAACCCGCACTAACCAGTGTGGTGAAGTATGGTTAAACACGCACCTTTGGCAGACGTGTCTAGTTGTCCTTTCCCTGCACCTCCGATTAGTACGATTGGCTACGTATGGTGCGAAAGAAGTTCAACATACATATACGGCATCAGGACGCCTTCATCCAGCATTGGAATGGAAAATTGGCTGCATTATTATAAATTACAGTACTAATAATTCAGAAGGAAACGTGTTTTCTATGTCCAAGAAGGGTAAACACGCAAATGTATTTTTCAGAAGTAATGATGCACTACTTTGTTGGCTCGTGGGCAATAGAGTAGTAATACGCTGATACAGGTCTGTTTCTTTGCCAAAATAAATTCACATTTAAGTCCAACAACCGATGGCCCCTCTGGACCAATGTTTTCCAAAAGTATTTGCATAAGCCAAGCAAACCCTACTTTATTATGATTACACTTCGAGTAATTTGTTCATAGGCAGTGTTGAGAAGGGAATCCATTTCAACCACTGCATTTAGCTCACTTGATGCTATTAATTACTAAAAACGTATATTTGCAGATACAGCTTAAACCACTTCCACCTGTGAAATGAGCACACTTAATTTTCGTGAAAATTGCAGAAGCAATTGAGAAAATTGACTGTCTGGGAAAGTGGCCTTCCTTAGACAGCAGAAGAGTGTTAGAAGGGCAGCATGAAATAGGCGTGTTTGTACACAACTGCCATAGCAATTTCAATAATTGTACTGTTCCCAATTTTCTCATTGTTTAGATTTACAACTTCAGGGCGCCATACAGAGGGGGGGTGGTCTATAACAGTACTGTGTTTTAAGAAGGGATTTTCCAGGAAGGGACCGCCAGATTGTTTGTGAAACTGTGACACGTGCAAGCGGGTTTTGTTTGCGTGAAACAACAACAATAACAACAATAACAACAACGATAACAACAACGATAACAACAACAATAACAACAACGATAACAACAACGATAACAACAACAACAATAACAACAACAATAACAACAACAATAACAACAACGATAACAACAACGATAACAACAACGATAACAACAAGCACCACCGCTGGGCCACGAAGTGGCGGCGACGTGACCACGGCGCTCGGGGGCCGTCCATAAATGACGTCACGCGATTTTGGACGATTTTTGACCCCCCCCCTCTCGTTACACGGCGTCACAAAAAGTCAGACCCCCCCTCAAATATGACGTCACAAAGCTCTGCCCCCCCCCAAACCATATTTCCATTTTGAAAATAAAACATGCTTCAAATCGCTTTAAACTATCGTAATTGTGCGTTTTAATGTGGCGCTGCACTCTGATGTTGTAGGATAAAACATTAATTAAAAAGTCTATTTAATTAAGTAGAACGTGTTGTCTATATTTATTTAAAGTTGCGCATTTTGATGTGACGTCACATTTCTCAAACCCCCCCCCCCCCCCCTCTCGTCACACATCGTCACAAATGCCTGACCCCCACCCCCCTAGGTGCGTGACGTCATTTATGGACGGCCCCTTGTGCCATGCCAGGTGCACTTTGTAGGCCACTGGCAACACACACAGAATCGTGGCCCGCTCGCTGCGTCTTACGCGCGTGAATTTCCCTTTAAAGTGTTTTTAGTCGGCCGAACGCTGGAACGTTGAAAAGCACGCATTGACGATGAGCACAGCGACGAGACGTGGCCAATAAATAAACGCGCGCACGCACCGCACCGCCCTTCTAAACCTCGACCGGGCCCCATGTAAATCATCATCGTGGGCACCCCGAGGGGGAGGTTGGCGAGTCGAGGCCGTACCCCTCGCTGGGGAGGGGTTGGGGGGGGGGTTCAATCTCCGCGCCGCCGTTTCGAGTGTCAAGGAAAAGGCAAGAAACGAAGGTGAAGCGTTGCGGTTAATTGGTGGATCAATGGAGCCGCTTTCATTGACTCCGCAGACCGCGTGCGAGTTACCGCATCAATTCGCTCGCGCGCCAGTGAGTGCACAAACAGCCCTCACACTAACATGGATTACATCGTCGTCGTCATCATCATCATTCTATGTTGGAATGTGATGAGGTGGGTAAAGCGGGAGGCCTAATCTTATTAAGGACTGCAAATGTTGACCCTCTGTTTGCATGATCGCCAGCCGTGGTCTGTCCACTGCTGGATGAACGCCTCTCGTCCCCACAAAGACAAAGATCCCCCGTGTAGCCTTAAGAGGCTGTTGGGGCAAGTGCTGTTAGCGAGCAGCACCTCTGAAGGGCCGACACGGCGCATGAAGAGAGGGTGGGTGGCCAGCACCACGCCCGGCCGGCCTCAAGATCCCCGGTGGCGATGTTTTACTACACCACCGCACCAGGTACTCATTTGAGGCCGAGTCGACCTAGGGGAGGAGGCCCGGGACCGGTTCGGACAATCGCCACCGATGTCGGTGGCCGTGAGCGAGAATCGAACTCGTGTCGCCGGCCTCGTAGGCGCAGCGTAGCGCCAACCGCGGCACCAGCGCCTCCAACACGGGCGAACTATCGTGGAGCAACGCGTGGCGGTGCGCGGAAAATCGAAAGGGGATCAGCTGCTGTGCAGGTGCCGGCTCGAAGTCCGCTGTGTTTGGACGGCAGCTGCTAGGATCGCGAGAGACGGCTTTGATGATGATGACCAAAGCGCCTTGAAACCGCCCCCCCTATACATTGGCGAGCGAGCGCGCTTTTTAGCGGCTACAGCGTCGCACTCCACGGGGGGGGGGAAGGGGAATGATCTCGGTTCAATGACGGTCGGCGTCTGTCAGTGTTTTGCGTGAGATGCACTGCAACTCGTAACTGTGGGGTTGACCGCCCCGCAAGTGAAGGAAATTTAACCTCCAGTCGGTAAGAACGTGTTTGGCTTAGCTAACAACACAACGTTGTATAATGACCGTTATACAACACGATCAAACAAATACACGTGGGTAGCATTGCGCCAGAAATGTGGGTTTTTTTTAGAACTGCTGTTGGTGCCCAGCGTGGGTGAAGCTGTCAACCCATACGGCTTACCCCGTATTCTTGAACAGGTAAATTTAGTTTTTAGGTCCATACGGCGCACAGCCGTTGGGATGCGTGCAGTTTTGTGTCTGCTTGTGTTTCTCCCTTGTGACGGGCCTTTGTGAGATGAACTTTGATATTTATAAGGGCACGGGGTGACCAGTAAGGTCTGAATTGGTCTGTAATAAGGTAAGGGGTTGCCAGGGATGGGGATTGGACGTGTGCACACCCTCGCAGGCACAAACCAACGTTTAACGACTATTGCGAGGAATAATATCTGCGTTAACCCAACGTGTTTGTGGTGAACATGTAAACATAACACGCTCTGGTAATATATGGCATGGTCTTTTAAACTAATTGGCCTACACCAGACACAGCCTTTTCGAGGGATTAGTCTCAACAGTGTCAGATCAGAGAACGCCAAAAAGGCGACCAGTACACAAACAATGCCACTGTCAGGGCATTTATTGCCAGAAAGGGTTAAACCTATTCTTCTTTTTTTCATACTATGATACTGGCAACAAAGGTCCCATGTTGACTATTGCAAGGTGTACACCAGCAACGCCTTCTCGAATAACCTTCGTAACGCACACACGTGCTGTCCCTATCTGTGACTTAAAATCGAAAGCGTTTATGGGACCTTTGCCTCTTGTGCATTGTCCTTGGGGGGCGGGGGGGGGGGCAGGGGGCGAGGTTATTTTGTTGCCCTCTTCTCAAGGAGCTAATGTGAGGTTGCAACAACAACAACAACAAGAAGTCGTGGGATGAGCAGCAGGGGATATGTTTGTGCCGTTCGTTTACACGTGGTCATTTCAAAGCGACCCAGTGTGCCTGTTTTATTTTCTAATTCAACTGCAGTGGCCTTTGAGTCAAACAATAATAGTGATTTTGAATTTAAAGCTTTCGTGACTGCAGGGATTCATATTCTTGGTTCTTTCGGTAAAGTCACGTAGAAGGGAAATAATAAAGTAATACAAATAAAACGTTAAGAAAAAAACCGCCACTTTTTTCAAATTTTCTTGCTGTGAGGTTTCACACCTGATGATGATTGCTTGTGTTGCAATCGAAACGTCGTGAGAATTTTATTGTTTTATTTGTATTATTTTATTATTTCCCTTCTACGTGACTTTACCGAAAGAACCAAGAATAATAATAGTGATGATACAGCAACCTGGGAATACCAATGCAGTTTTGTCGTGACTTCATATGTCGCCTCTAAGCCACATATCTAGGTCACGGTGGGTTAAAGATCGACCTTGTTTTAGGAAGATACGGGTATTCGTGCCGCTTCATGTGTCGACTGCTTGAATCTACGTTGTGGTGACTGAACAGAGAGTCGGGGGTCGAATGGAACTTGTGAAGAGGGACCCACCCCCCGCCTGTGATTGTAACGCGGTTTGACGGTTTTAGCGTTGGCAAAGTGAATGTTTGAAATGTAGCTGCTGCTGCTACTGCTGTAGCAGTTGCACTCATCTCGAGAT